TAAGGATCAAGTTGCTCTGAATTTTCCCCCCTCAGACCTTTTACCTTCTTGAGCTCCTTTTGATTTCCTAGTTTGAGTTCTCATCACCTCGGGGTTAGGTCGTTTATAGCCTCTTCCTGGCCAACCTGCCTAATTGTAGCCTCACCAGCTTTTGAGGACTCCACACTGTTCTTTGCTCTTTCTTGTTTTCATATTTTAAAGTGAACAGTGGCTCTTTGAGTACCAATATGTGCCTGATACCCTGTGTGATTCTAGTTGATGATAGATACGGTTAGCTTAGCAATCAAGGAAGTCCTTGCATACTTAGCTTTTTCCCATCATATTCCTCCCCTCCCCCAAGATGAGAAGACACACCCATATCCAAACAGCAGAAAGACGCAAAGTGAAAATCATTAAGTCTTGCCTGTGTGCTGGGACTGGTACAGGAATCAGCAGGAAGCCCAGTCCTTACTTTTATATGGGATGTGTGCTGGTTTTAGGATTCTGGCTATTTTAAGGCTCAATGGTAGAAAAATTTTATGAAAACAGAGGACTAAAAACTGATCTGGTGCAGGAGACAAAGTTTGCTATTGATCCTGTTTCTCTACTAAGCTAACATCTCTGAAGAAGGGGCCAGCTGATACTATTCCATAAACTTTACAGAGCTGAAGTAATTGCTGAACTCTTAGCAATTTTTAGCAAATTTCTGTTGATTCATTATTCGGCTGACTGTTTTTGTATCCTGCACTGATTCAGCCAATCACTGAAGTACGAGCTCAAGTGACTGTATGGTGAGTTTTTGAACTCTTAAATACAACAGTGATACTTCAGATTATAGCAAGCCAGCTACATCTATATGCACTTTAGAAAAAGGAACCAAAGGAGAATCCTTCGATTCAGTTGTACCAGATGTTTGAGAAGAAAATGTTGGAAGAAGATAAAATAACCAAGCAAATTAACTTAAGAGAGAAAAGACAGGCTAAAAAAAAAATCACTGAGTTTTAAAATATCTATTTTTATTTAAAAGGGGAGTTGGTGTATGGCTTTGTACTTTGTTCTTGAAATCACTTTTATTTTCCTAACCACACCAAGTTAATAAAATCCAGATGAATATTTGGCTGGATTAACCTTCTGGATAGCTTTTGTTAAGTGATGTCCATCCAGAAAAAGGCTATCCATGTTAATCACCACTACTGACCACTGTAACAGGGAAAAAAAACTGGAGAAGCTTTAATTCTGTTGCTCCTCAAAGACCACTACCCTCCGTGCACTTACCTACCTCACAGACAGCCACTGTTTTCAGACAGAAAAGGCCAGTCCTTGCTATTATTTTTACAAATTTTGCAAAAGACAGTAATGCAGCTATACATGAAAATGTAATACAGACTCAAGGGGTGGAGCAGTTCCTGTGAAAATCTGATCATGAGTGTTGACACGTTTTCCTGGGAGTCTTGGTACAAGACAACAATGCAAAATGAAATAGAGGCGTATGATTGCCATCCAATTTAAAACACAGCATGACGGCTTTCGGAGTTAACTCTTCTCAGTAGTTTGAGGCAACTGCTTCATCAGACTTTCAGGCAGCCAACAAGTTCATCCCTGGCTTGAACCTCATCTTAATTTATGTGGATAAAACATTGGACTCTATGAGGTCACGTCTGCCCAATATATTACAAGACAGAGAGGTCTCATGTAACATTTGATTGGGATTCAGCAGAACTGAAACAATTTGCTACCAAATAATGAGACAGTTACGGTTTGTTTGAAAGACTGGTGAGCAACCAGCATAGACATGGACTTATTTTTCTCTGAGTCTCATTAATAGTGATACATTTTATGTATAACTATTTGTTTGATTCAACAGCTGATAAATTATCTGTCTTTTAATCTCTGTCCTAAGTACTATTTTAACTAAAGTTCAAAAATAGAGCAAAACAATATCTCTTCATGTTTCAAAATGTTCCAAGAATATTTTTGCTATTGGGAATGTGGAAGGGGCTAGCTTATCTGAGGGTTTTCTTTGATGTTTTAAAGAGTGTGGGTTTTACTCTGGTGGGGGGACTCTATGAAAAATCTGAATGAAGAGAATGAAACAATTGAATTATTTAAGGAGACCACATGTACTACTCTGTAAGAATGAGAAGAGCCTCCATCTTTGTCCCTTGGTTCTGTTAGCTTCTTAACAGTCACAAATCTCATGGCAGCAGCCCTGTCATCAGAAGAATCTTGCAGGTGATTTGAGAAAAGCCTTCAACAAGGAGAGGCATCCAACTAGGCCAGTGTATTAAGAAGCTTGCTAAGACAAGAACAGGAGACTATTCAATGCATTTGGCAACTTGGAAGATGCCTGCAGTGGATTCTGGGAGCGGTTTCAGGATCAGTGGTTTTGGGGGGGCTGAAGGCAGATGAGAGTGAGCTGAAGAGAAAACAGAAGTGAGGAAACAGAAGCGTCACGTCTAGGACACTCTACAGAAGATCGGTGACAGCAGGGAGTGTGGGAGCAGAGCAGGGGTCACCTTCAGTTTTCAACAGTGAAGCCTGCCATAGGCTTCCACGGTGATCCGGAAGGTGGGGAGAGACTGGGGATGCAGAAAGAGAAGCTATTACAGGGGTGGAGCGCCTGCAGTGTAGGAGGAGGTGGGTCCAGATTTGCTTTTGATAGAAGGGATGTTTCTTTCATTGTAATAAGGTAGTAAGGGAAATACAGATGTTCATCTAGGCTGGTTTAGAGCTGTACTGTTAGAAGATTAGAGAATGGCTAGAATCCTTTGGTTGAAGCAACATAAGGTATCTGTGGTTAACATAAGCAAAAAGAGATGTGCTTGATGAATTCTGAGTAGTTTAACCCCCTCCCAAATTTTTCATACCAGGGATGATATTGCTGATGAGCTGTGGAGGGAGTTGACTGTCTTGGAGGTCTCTGGACAGAGAACCGGAAGAAGTTTTTAATTCAAATACAGAGTGCAGCTCACAGAGCAGGGATCCTAACAGGATCAAGAATTTCCTGTATCACTGCAGAGCCGATCAGTGTCAGATATCTGTTTCTCTCTTCTGCTTCCTCCCTCTGCTTCTCCCCTCCTATTGTTTAGTCTCACAAGCCTCCCAGGATCTGGGTTCTAGCCTCCTCCTGAGGAAGGGGAGCATGTGACTCCAGGCACTTGAAGTTGTTCACATACATGGTTTTTTCTCCCTTCACTGAACACCTTTGAGAAGGGATAATATTGCACTCCCATTTATACTGCTACATCTTCTTTCCAGAGGCCAGGGCAGGTTTTGCATATGGTAGGTGTTCAAGACTTGTTTGGTGTTGTGTCACTATCGGAGGTTTCTTGGAAAAATACTTTCCACCTTGATCCTCACGAGGCAAGGTGATGTATGGAGTAGGTGTACAGTCCAAGTTTTCAATTAGATTTTTGAGTCTTCTACTTACTAGCTCTGTGATTTGGGGTCACATTTTAGTTTCTCCATCTACAACATGAGCAACCCTTGTCCGAAAACACTGTTGTGAAGATCAAATGAGGCCAGGATGCCGATGAGCTTTACAGCCCGCATAACCCGAGAGCTTAATAATGATCGTGGAGTCAGAACAAAGGCGCTAGATGACCTTAATGATGACTGTTAACACCCACCTTTGGTCCCCCTGTCTTTTCATCTCTAGATGCTCTGCACATAGAACAGAACTTTGCAGAACCAGTTCTCAGTTAGCTTTTTAAAAAAAAAAAATTTAAATGAGTGCCAACATTATTAAAGTCATTTCTAAGTCATCCTGCTTAGATGCTTGTTACAATAGTAAGAATAAAGTTTCTAGAACATTTCATGTGGGTGAAGGTGGGCAGTACAGAAATGGGGAATTTCCTTTTCCTAGAGAAACCTCAGCGAGGGTGAGTAGTTCTAGAAGCTTCTGGCGTTTTGAGCCACTACAGCATGGACTGACCTGGAATGAACAGTGCTGATGAGAGCTGTTAGTTGTGGCTCTGTCACTGCAATGCTGATGCCCAAGTACTACACAGTCAGTTTGGGGTCAGGCACGATCCCCTGGGAGGCACACAGGGAAGCAAGCCACTCGGGTATTGGCTGCACGTGGGAGTGGCCCAGTGGAGCAGGGAGGTGATGATGCCTGAAACCGGTTGTGGCTGTGCTGGGCCTGTGCAGTGACCACTGGTGTGGGCTGTAAAGAGTCTTCTGGTATGCTTTTTCAGTTGTGTCAGTGGAGTAACTGATATTATGTGTTCACAGAGAAGGCTTTTCACTGAAACATCTTTTCTGACAAGTAGAACATAATTTAACTACTTTTTTTTCTGTTAGCTACCTCATTAAGGAATTAACTATTAGGAAGTAGATTTTAAAGACATTTAATATAATAAATCAGTTTTAAAATTTTAGCTCACTACAGTCTCTTTCTGTCCATATATCTCTGAAAGAAATGGTTGATCAGGAACACACAGAGCACTTCTCTTTTGTTCCACTTCAACTTACAGAAAAACTTATAAACTGGCAGACCAAGGAAACTTTATTTTAGCTTTCCTTCATCAAGCTACTCTAGAAAGTCACTGCAGTAGGACCCAAGACCTGTGACTATCTTAGCTTGTCAGGTTCTAGGCGCACGAAGGGAAAGTGGTCAGGGTCAGATTGGGAAAAGCCTGTTCTTAGGAACGTCAGAGAGACAGCGTTTGCTACACGCCAATGTGACTGTCTTTCATCAGCCAGCCTCCTGTTCAGCTGGAGGCTCTACTGCTAACCCACCACTTGGCTTTCATTGTCTTAGGGTGGTGTTTCAGGTGCTTCATGGATGTATTGTACTCCTGCTGCTGAGTCTGTCTCAACAGCAAAGCAAGGGCTCTGTGGGAGGATGTGGGACAATGCAAGCCTGGGTTGACAGAGTAACCTGGAACACTGGCAGTGAACACAAACAAGGACATTGCAGCTTGGAGAAAAAAAAAAAAACTTGGCAGAAGCAACATGGATCCAAGTGCCTTGGCTTGGAACAGGAACAAGGCATCCAATTATAGTGCACTCAGTATTGGGAGTAAAAAAAGTGCTTTTATTTTTGCTTTAATCCTGTAGAAATAAATGAGAGAATAAGAACCAGATTGAGAATAATTTTTTCATTTAAGATTTTTCTTTAGACAGTGTCAAGATGGGAAACTTCTTCTGGAGCTTGAAGAAGCTCTAATTTATAGAACAACTAATTAAACAAGCCAAATAACCTGTTTTGGTATGGAGAATTCAGTTCCTGCAGGACCCTAACCCCATGGAGGATGTGTTTTGTGTGCTGTCCAACCTCCTATCAGGGCACAAGGCTTTAATGACCTTGAAATCACTAGTTAGAGTTACTCTTTTACAAGGAAGGAGAGTATTTGCATCTAAGCCACAGAACAAAATAAAATACAAAACTTTGCTACCCACAGCTGGAGGCTTTATTATGTCACTTTTGACCTATATGATCTGTTTCTAAGTAGCTACATAAATGTCATAGGTAAATATATGTTTGTGTATAAATACATAAACATTATCATGCAAGTACCATTTTTGTATTGGGAATAATTACCAAAAGAGCACAATTATTTCAAATTCAAGGGGCTTAAGTTAAAACATTTAAAATTGACTTTTGATATTACATATAGATTTGTGAAATGTATATTACATATACAATTGTGAAAAAAATTTTTCTTTATTGTTATGGCTGTCTAGTATAGCCCCTACCTTATGATCTTTTCTTGGGGTTTACAATTAAATGAGTAACGATCTTGGAAGGTTAAGTAGATAATATGATTGTGAAAACCTATTAAATCCAATTATTTTTTTCCATGACCATGAAACACAATCTCTAAAAGCTGAGATTGTGCAATTCCTGGGAAGGCACATGGCTCAGCTCAGTGTTGCATCTAATGAAAACAAAACCAAAAATAAAACACAAGTGATCCATGAGGCTGGCTCTTTGAGCCTCATTGCCTGTAATTGTAAACATCTGAACTTCAGGGTTTTCAGGAAAAGTTCTGCCCTGCATTATGTTTGGAAAGTCAAGGGTAACCCAGTCTAATCATTGTTTTTGACTGACGACTCTTCATACTTGTTATGATTATTACAACTCAGGTAAGACAGGTATTTCTTTTTATGTGTATAAAACTTCTGGCCTGGAAGCACCAAAATCTGTTGAAGTTTAGCTCTTCTGCAGCTCTCCTTGAGCATCCAAGACCCTTGGGTAGATATTTCACCATGGGATTTCAGGTCTCTGTCGTGGACTTCCTTATTACTCAGAGGTGAGATGCTGACCCATGTTGGCAGTTACCACTTGGGCATGGATGTTGTTCTCAGTAGCAGGGGTACCTGAGACTAAGAAAAGGGTGAGTTATGCCACTATCACCTGCCTACCTTCCAAATATGAGGCAGTTCAGTTGCCCAATCAATTGTATTATCACAAGGTTTAATTACCTTTGTAGGGTGGAGCTCCCTCTTATGAGTTTCCTTTAGATTGTTAACACTGAACTATCTTGTCTTCTTAATAACAACAATAATAAAAATAATGCTTCTTTCACTAAAGGCATTGACTGTTTTTTTTTTTTTTTAACCAGGATTTGCACTTATGCACTTATACTTGCCAGGGAGGCACTGTGCCACTGAGCCATATCCCTGGCCCAGCACTAACTTTTAGATTTAAGCTTATAACGTGAGTTTAGGCCATTACTGTGTTTAAAGATCCAGCTTCCTCCAATCGCGAGAACAATGATTTGCAATAAAAAAATATTATCCCTTTCATTTGTAGAACACATTAAGTTTTATGAAGCACTTTCATACCATCTCCTGTCTCCCTCAGGCAAATCTGTGAGCTAGACACAGAAGGCATTTTTCTTTCTTCCATGCCACTTTTAAGAGGGTGAGGCTGTGAGGCCCTGTGTGTTGAGAATCAAATGTTACCTAAATTGTAAGTGGACTTGGAACCTATTTTGATAAAGCTCTTTCTCTGTATGTACCACTTCCCTTTCTCTCTGTGTGTGTTTTCCTCTTTGTACTTAAACATTATACTCACGAAAAAACTGAGGTGAAAAATACTAAGTGACTTATTAAGGTTATAACTTTGTTCAGCAGGAGATAAAACTCACCATTTAAAAGCTTTTCCATGTAAATCATGAAAGTCATCTTTCCTCTAGTGAAGAATGTCATTTTAAATTTCAACCTCCAAATGTCATAGTCTAGCCAATGGGAATTTGGTAGGCAAGTTAGATTACGATTTTTGCAATATTTTAACTGGAGATGACAAATTCACTCCACAAATCGTTATTTTCTGAAGATCTCCTTTTGTGAGTGCATTCTGTTGCTGAAGCCCCTTTGAGTGCAGTGTGGAGCGGAGAGCAGGGTGACTGTCAGGAAGTTATATGCTTCACAGCAATGATGAAAGCCCTGGTTTGGCTGAGAGCATTTATAGTAAATGGAGCCTGCTGCCTGTGGCTCAGGGGCCAGGGCTTTGTGCTGGCTTGCTTGCTCTTTAGACTTCTGTTTGTTTGAGCTGTTGATCATAAACACCAAGTCAGAGACTATTTCCTGACTGAGAAGTCCTTTGACATTCTAGCCATGACTCATGGAATCACTTCATGCCCACGGAATAGCCACTGTCACCTTTGGGGTTTGCACGTAAGGCACATAAAACATGAGGAATTAAGTCTCCTCTGTATCAGTTTGCATACAGGACAAAGATACTCTTTCCTGGCCCCTAAACAGACCTCGGTAGCTTTGGGAGCCGAGGGACCCCACATTCCTCAGCACCTTCCCTGGCTCACTACTCCTAGCTGATTCTACACCACCCACTTGAACAGTGTTTCCCGCCGTGTCTTCTTCTCTAGTGGATACATTGGTAATCTTTTTGCTGTATTATTGTTTTCTTCAGGGTGGGATTACCGATTGGCATTTCTTTTGCATCAGAATACAGAGCATGTGTGTGTACATTTACACTTACAGACAATTAGGCATGGTAGTGAGAGAAGATGAATTTTTTCTGATTCCCTCCTGTCATCTGTCTCTCGTCCTCCTCCCCTCCCTTCCAAGCTCCTGCCTTCCTTTTCACCAGTATCTACTGCAGTAAAATACGGTTACTGTGCTTGGTTCAAGGAGAATGTAATGAAGAAGGAACATACATTATATTAAGAGTTATATTTTACCAAAAATTAAGTGCAGAGAAAAAGTCTTGTTGGGGAAAAGAAGTTGAAGACATTTGTGTCCTAATTAGAGATACATACTAGCTGGAGAAATGCTGATTCTCTTCTAAATAGAGATAGGGTGGGGGAAGAGAATGTGTTGGAAGGATGCTAAAGTTGGAAGCACATTCAGGCTTTTAGGAGCTACCAGCAAGTTACTTAACATCCTTGAGCCTAAGGTGCTTTATCTGTAAAACAAAGGTTATTGTAAGGAGTACATTAATTATATGAAAATGTTTCTTAATGTTAAAGCAAATACTTTACTTTGGTTAAACAAATGCTTTTTAATATTGTGTTTGACCTGTGAGAAAATGTTCTTAATCTTCTATTGTATGAACAGGAAGAATTTTCTAGGGCATGGCACAGTATTTTTTCCCCCTCTGCAAAACTTACCTTTGAGCATGTGATAACAAGTAAGAGGCTTGTTCCTTGTGGGTAGAAGTAATAACTGCTGTGTGTCTTTAGCCATGCTGCACCCCTGAGAGTACATTTATTTACTACTCTGAAATGGTGATTTTGCTAAGTGATACAGATGGTGCCTGAATGAGCTAAAAATATTTCCATTATAAGTTACACTAAAAATTGTAGAATGCAATCCTAAAATGGTTTTAAAAAGCGGGAAAAAACCCCTGGAAAACAAAAAAAACATCCTGGAATGCCACAATTTAAGGTCAAAACATGCATATTTGAAATGATAGCGCCTACCTACACCAACTCCCTGTCCTTAAGAAGTAACTAACCCAACCCAAATCAATTCTTCCCAGATCTGGAGTCAAGTTAGGGGCCCCCATGGCCTAGGAGCAAGGGTATAATGTCCTGGGCATGATGCTTCCAGCTGACTCATGTTCAAGTGGAGCTGGCAAAGGCCAGTGCTTGCCCCATGTTTTCCATTGGTTAACTGGGGTGATGGGTACTGACTTAATAATCTTTGCTTCTCTGGAGTAACAGTGAAAGATCTATAAAGCTCTCCTAGTGAAACACAGTGCTAACACAGCAGTTCACCACTGCTAAACCAGTTCCTGTAGGAGACCGGCACCACACAACACATGTGGCTTTCACTGGGAGCCACTCTCGGTGCCCTGTGTTGTAAGCTTGCTTCCTATTACATAAGAAGAGTGGCTCCTTCCCCAGTCATGGCAGAACTGCCAGACAGATCTCACGGACTGATGTATGAACTTTAGACCTTGCTTTCTCCATGGTTGTGGACAGACTGGCTCTCTTTAAGGAAAGTCTTTTATGGCTTACTTCCAAACTAGTGGAATTCCTGTTTGCATTTCATAGGCTCACTGGTTTCAAAGGTGGTTTCTCTAAGGTAATTAAATCAAATCCAAATGAGTCATTTTTTGGTTTTCAGAAGTTGTACAAAACAGAGCAAAGCTTTCCAGAGTCCTCTTGACTAGCAAGGGCACATTTGTCACACTCAGCCAGTTTCCTGGTTGAAATGGAAACAATTATTGGGTGTTGGTATTATAATCAGTGATAGAGTAATATATTGGTCACTGACAGTATCTCTTGACCTCTGTTTCTGAGAACTGCAGGGCCTGACAATTATGCAGCATACAGCAAAGTCCATACTTACGTGGAGGATGTAAGGCAAGAGGACCACACATTTCTCCAAAGCCTTTGTCTTGGATAGTAAACAGTGCAGGTGGTGTTGGTGTTGTTGCATTTAGAAGACTCTCTGGATAGGTCTCTTTTTCTCTGAAAAATGAGGAGACAGAACAACATGATCTCCAAATCTCTCCTAGAGTAAATGCTGATTCTCTCAATGAGAGAAAATCTTTTTGATTAACTGGACATAATGAACTCTTTTCTTCTGTCTTTACCCATAACTTGCCAAATGCCCTCTTACTTCCTCCTCTGGGCATAGCACTGTGTGTTGATTTCCTGCCCACTCATCTGTGTTCTCTCTTTACCCAAAGACTCCAGACTGTCAGAGTGTGGGGGAGGAGCTCTGAAGCATTCTGTGGAGCAGCAGCCTGGTGTCTGCTGCAGTTAAAATTTACAAAAACTTTAGTACAGTGTCACCTGGATTTGTCAGTAATCAAGAGGAGCCATAAAGACCTGATTTCCAAAAATTTCTCCTCCTCTTAGCCGTGGGTCACCTTTTCTTCCAAGGTAACCTGAAATAGTCACCATAAGCAGGTTTTATAACAGAAAAGTAGTCCATCAACAGATTGTTTCTGTTGTCTGAATATGGCTTGTGTATGTTTTTCATTTTATCAACTTAGAGTTGAAAACACTTTTTAAAACTCAGAAAATAGCTTTGATTTACTTGCCAAAAGTTATAAAGTAAAGATTTTTAAATAGAATCATCCTGGATTTCTAGTTTTCCTCGTGTTTCTGTAAGGTCAGAAATCACTGTGCCCATGTAACAGTTCAGGCGCTCCCTAGCATGACAGGCCACAGAGGCCATGTCAGCTGACTGCCTTGGATTCAGTCGATCAGTCAAGTTGAATGGCGCTTGTACAAAGTACAGGAAACCTGACTTCAGAAGGAGCAATTTACAGATAATGAGAGACTTGTTGGGAGGGAAAGGGAGCCTGCAGTGGGCCCGAATGTACAGAGGCCATGCTAATGTTCTCTGTGTGGTTCCAGTTTTAGTCTCTGTGCTGCCAAAGGGAGGCCAGGCAGGCAGGGATGAATCTGGAGGGCAGTCCTAGCTCAGGCCCGGGGCGTTCCGAGGTTCTAGGTCAGGGCAGCGGCAGGTAGGCACCTGGAACGGAGCCCAGCGGCACCAAAGGGTGGTGCCCTAGGGTGGAGGATCTGCTTTCCTTCTGCCTTGCCTTGGGTCAGCCTCATGGTTGCATCAAAGTCCAGGTCTCGGCATGATCTCTCAATGCCAGCAGGGAAATCTAGAGAGCAGATTCATCAGTAAGGTAATATTTAACCTCCTAGTCCCACCTTTAATCATTTTGTCAAAATTATCCTTAGTCTTCTCAGCTACTCGAACCATGAATGAAGGAGGATGACCCACCACACTTGGGGTGTTCATGGTCCTTCTATTTCACAACAGGGATTCGGCTTTGCCAATATTTTCGTGTCCTAATAACAGCAATCAACGCTTGGTCATACGGTAATAAATAGTTGCCCATCTGGGACACGGCCCTGTAAAACAGAACAGGAAACTCCACATCATATGGAAAGTTGTACTTTTAGTTTCATAATTCAACTTTTGCCTAACAAAGATAACTCTTATTGAAACTGAGCTCTCATAAGACATATATTTAAATAATTTATGAAAATAATACCTTCTTACAAAATATTTTCCTGTATGTCATCTTTTGGGGTATCGCTGTGATCCCCTGAGGCAGGTGGACATAATATTATTACAATCTTATAAAAAAGGAAACTGGGGTACAGAAAAACTGTGTGACTTTGCCTGTGCCTTACAATTAGGTAAACACTCATAACAGGCTCCTGAGGTTTCTGTCTATCAACCCATGGCTCTTTCTGCTGTCTGTCTGCTGCCCCCATGACGTGTGTGTGTGTGTGTGTGTGTGTGTGTGTGTGTACACGACAATACAAATGGACTCCATCACAGAGCCTCAGTCTAAGAAAAAACTTGGTTTAGGAAGTGGCAAATGTGTGCTTATAGGATTCATTTGTAAAATTCCTTTACATTGACAAAAGAGAATCCCAATAGATTAATATTATCAGCTTATTTTTCTTTACGGGCTTGTGACCTGTTACAAAAGTGTTTTGATGAACTGGTTATAAGAAAATGGCTACAATGGATGACCCTGTGCAGGAAATGCTTTCCCTAATTACTAAATTTATCATTGCAGTTCTCCATATCTAAACTGTGCATAAGAAAACTCACAGCTTCACGGTCCTGTTATTCAGCTACTGAGAGCCCATGCTTCTGCATTCCCTGGAGGCTTCCTATTTCACTTAAAGTACCCCCTTTCTACCCTTTAATAGCTGTTGTTATTGTTACATCACCAAAACAAACACAAAAGAAACAAAACACACTGGACAGGTTGGTGGCTTGGAATTGACACCTGCAAGACAGGGGTGATGTGTCCATGCTTTGTTTTCTTTCCTAGTACTGAAGTCAGAGCTCTGCCTCTCACTCCTGAGTCCACTCTAGCAAGGTGAGGTGCTGGCTTTCTTTCCTTTCTGGTAGGTATGTGCGTAAGTGTGCATGAGTGTGCATATGTGTGTATGCTTGCAAAAGGGAGAGGCCAATTAGAAATATATCACTGATATCTTACAGACTTGGTTATATGATTATAATATTTTGACTTTTCAAGATGTCTGAAGATGTTTTCAGAATCTCATGTGAGGATGGAAACTATGGTGTATCTCTTAGGAAAATATTATTCTTGTTTATAGAGAAAAAGTACTCAGAAAAAATTACTCAGGGAAGTGCTTAGTGTTTATTTCAAATACTTATTTTGTGAAGACAGATTAAAAAAACAGATGTTATTTTTATTAGATCCAGTAACATAATTTGTTTTAAAAAGCCATAAACATCTTGACATTTGAGTTTACATTATTTTTAAGAATGTATTATGTGTTTGATAGCCAAACATTACGTCTTTTAATACAAGACCAAGATGAGCTTTACTTATGTAGGAAGTAATCTTTATTTAAGGTGCTAGTTTTACATTTAATGCTGAGTTTTCTTATTAGGAAGCAAGCTACAGAATATTAATCATTCTTTCTTCCTCATCTTCAGGACCAGCTGACTTAATGTGAGAATTTCTTCAAATAAAGTCTACAAAGAAAACTTCATCAAAATATTTAAACTCCTTTATTTGCACCTTTACGCCTCCTCATATAAATCTTATTAATGCTAATTTTCCTGTTGCTTTCTTCTTGTTTGTTTGAATGCACTTTGAGAAGTCCTAATTTTGTGCCCTGATCATGTTATTGCTACTTCTAGCCTCCTGGTGGGAGCAGTCCTGTCCCATGCCTTTAAGATCTACCTCAAATGTTACCTTTTTAGATTAAGTTTCTTCAGGGTAAGTGTTTCCTTTGAACTATCCAGTTCATGTCAAAATCCTATTTTGAAATTCTGTATTAATTCATTTATCAGTTTTTAGGACACAAGTTAAAGTAGGCATAGGTCTTTCAAGAAACCTATAACTAAGTAGAGGTGATAGCCTATATTTCAGAAACTATATTGCAAACAAGAACATACCATGAGGGAGAGGGGATAAGGAAGTCATATGAATGAGAGATGACATGTAATACAAAGCCCTTACAATAGTACTTGGTACCTGCCAGCCAGGTACTGTTAGTCTCTCTTTGGGTGACTGAGAAAAGGGATTGCAGATCTGGAAAGTTCTGATGGAAGAAGTTACCATTAGTCTTGGTCAAATAGGTAAAACCTGGTTAAGTAAAAAACAGCTAAGAAGAATATACCATGCCAAGGAGCTTAGTCTATGCCAGCAAGCCACAAACCTGGAAAGTACATTACAAAAAGCACCCCCCTTCAGTTAGTGTGGTATTATTATGGAAACCGTTTCCTTGTTGGAGCATCAGAGTCTCTGGGTCCCCTGGAGTTCTCTGGCTTAGACTTTGAGAGTTGCCACTGTATGGTATGTGTGGCTATGTATCTCTCTGAATGCATGTTCTATTCCCTCTCACTCTTATTAAACTGGAAACTTTCTGAGAGTAGAAATTATCATAGGTATTCAGTAAAAATGAATAGCTGATATTGATGGTGACATTGATCAGCTGCTGCTGAAATGCTATGTTCTATTTGTGTGTATGTGTGTGTGTGTGTGTGTGTGTGTGTGTGTGTATGTTTGTATTTCTATTTCTCTATGTGTATTTTAGGGAGTAAAAATTAAAGTACTATAAATATTGTTAAATGATAGAGTTGACTATTAATGATTTGTCTAAAGGTAATAAGACGGTAATGGTAGTAATAAAATTATTCTTTCTACAAGATAAATTAGTCACTAAAGGAAATCCTTGTGCATAGGTGGGATGAGTTCTGCCAGTTTCAGTTTGTTATTTATAAGATGGGTCAGTTACAAGTCAGGCCCCCTGGAGGTGTGTCTTGCTTCTATTTTGTATTTGGAAGAACTAGTTAGTACAGATGAAAGTATTCAGATGCATTGAATGAAACACTGTGAATTTACACATGTTTAAAGAAGGAGTTTAGAGACTGTCCAGTGAGTCTAATCTCATGGTACGGTGAAGATGCTGTGACTGAAGAGATAAAGCAACTCACTGGGGAAACTGTGGGCTTTCTCTCTGTGTCTGGGGTGCAGGGTTTTTGTGCCTCATGCAGTACACCACGCCAGTAAAGTGTTCTGGTTAGGCTTCTCGACACCCCAGACTTCATCTTCTTTGGAGTTCTACCATTTCCTCTCTTGAGAGCTTGTGCATACAATAAGGTATTGGGAATGTGGTCTCTGATTCCAAATGAGTGGAAAAAGACACTTTTGCTCTGAAAGAGGCTGCTATGCTTCTGAGTGAAACTTCAGGCAAGATGACCAATAGATCAAAGACGCCAGGCAAGTGGCCCTCAATCTTGGCTGCCTATTCTAACAACCTGATTTAGTTTGCAAAATTCTAAGACTCTGGCCTTAACCTGAATCCATGAATTCACAATAGGGAGGAAGATGCTGTGAACGTTACAGCAGGTAATTCCCATGCATGCCAGAGAGGCCATAGTCTGCCCTGGCACCTGCCAGTGGCTGTCCTTGGCCTCTTTGTTCTCTTCTTTCTCTAAGAACTGAATTAAGCTGCCTCGTTATATTCTGCACAAGAGGCATATAAACCTCATAGGGTTTGCTTTAAGTGTTCAGGAGACCTTCTTGCTTTTGTTGAGGAGAGAGTATACCATCAAGGGAAGTGAACCTACC